GATTTATCCATATGTCTGCTCTTCTCTTACTCCCACATATTGACATTTTTGAACGTTTTATGCGACGTGCAGCAAGTGTTTGTTAGCTTATGTACCGCCGGTTCTTAAGTACGCATCTAACCTCCGAGCCACGCAGCAGATTCGTTCTGAATGAATCTCTTCCCAAATCGTCCCTCCTTAACATTTTCGAAGTACGCATCTAACCTCCGAGCCACGCAGCAGATTCGTTCTGAATGAATCTCTTCCCAAATCGTCCCTCCCTAACATTTTCGTCTCGTTTTAATTAGTTGACGAAAATGTCAATAGATTTACATCATAGTTTTTGTCATTCAAAAAGAGTTTTAGTTCGTTATCGTCTCGTTGTCGTCTGTGAAAAAAATGTCGTTGACAAATTATTCGTCAACGAAATTAACACTGGTGGAAGACAGATGCTTAATGTTTTCTGAGTCAAGTAGCTCATGCTTTAATTGCATTTACAGTTTAAGGTACAAATCATATTTGCAAAGTTTCTTTTCAGTGTATTTTCAAATCTCAGTAATATTAAAAAAAAAATTTTTTTTTCCTGGATTAAGTTTTTGCCCTATTTTGTCAAACTGGGCATGGTGACTGTGAATAAAACCACCCATCTATCCAAGACGTTTTTCCATGTCCAAAATGTCTTTTTAATGTTGAATATTTAATGTTCTGTTCATACGAGATGTAATCTATTTATTTATTTTAGTTTTATAGTATAGTTTAATATGTTTATGTATTTATATAATATAAAAATACGTAATTATTATTATTTATTTTTATGAAAATACATTATCCATTTAATTTGGGTCATACAGTCCTTTTTACCACTGTCCTTTCTCTTTGACCTCTATCCATTCATGTCCTTTATTTCTTCTTATTTCTTTCTCTGCCTCTTTACTTTCCTTAAGTCATTTTTCCATTACAAAAATAAATCACTGGCAGATCAGCGCTCACTTGACCTCTCTTTCATCAGCATCATTCATTGTGTGCACTCTCTCATGTTAGGACATCTCCGTGTTAGCATGCTCAGAATGTCTATTCCATTTTGATTTAGGCCTATTTTTCTTAGTGTGCATGGGTCAGACTTGTTATAATTAAGGAATAAGATAATTATAGTGTTAGACATTAGACCACATATTCTATCTGAATGACAGTGGAAAGATGGTTGTATCGAATCTTTTTATGCGCAAAATAGATAAATATGGTCAAATGCGGTAAATGGACATGTAGAATTTGAATTGTCTGTTTATGAAACAAAAATTACACTTAAAAGACAAGACAATATGGACTGGAGTGGTGTGGATTACTTGTGGATTATTGTGATGTTTTATCAGCTGTTTGGACTCTCATTCTGACGGCACCCATTCACTGCAGAGCATCCATTGGTGAGCAAGTGATATAATGCTAAATTTCTCTAAATCTGTTCTGATGAAGAAACAAACTCCTCTAAATCTTGGATGACCCAAGGGTGGCTGTCAGCAAATTTCAACTATTCCTTTAAAATGAACACACATCTTTCAAGATAATGCAACGTCATATGCATGCATACTGTTTGTGCATGTAATTTTGCAAGATGATGATTATAACCGTGCACGTTTTTTAAACGGACTCCTGTGAGTGTCATTTCTCTCTGTGAATGAGGACACCCTGTTCTCCTCCGCTTACTAATTGCCATGAGGCCAGTGAGGGTCTCATTCAGATGCATTGATGTTTGCCCAAATGACAGCAAACAGAGGCGGCCTATCCTCTCTTCCAGCCAAACGCACACAGAGGCCTTTGTTAGATGAGAGGGCCTTATAATCACACATCTTTTTGCTTCTCTCTCTTTTTTTTCCTCTCATTCTTCCATTTTTATAAAACATTATCATGCCTTTTGGTTTAATATCATTAATGTGCATGATGTACAGCAAATTTTTGTTTGAGCAATAGTAATACTGGTGCTTGCCAACACTACTAATTATCAAGCAGCTGTTTTAAAGGACCTGTTTATGATATTTCTGCAGTACTTGTTTAATTAGATGTTATTTAAAGTCGCCACCTGATCTTATCCTCAACTTCATCTGCTTTGCATCTGTTAAATGAACAAGCTCCTGAAGTACTAGTTGAGTTTATGAGTCCGGTGTGTATTAAAACCCCCCCTTTGTCTCCAGTTACACTGTTTTACCCTCTGTGGCGTGCCGGGGTTTGTGAATAAACAATTCAGCTGTTGTTATTCAAGTCTCATAAGGATCAATTATTGGCTCTTTTCTCATTTATCCATTAGTAAGTATTGTAGTACAGTGGAGCTGGTGTAATGGTGTGTCCCTTGAGCTCTGGATACAGTAGTAGTGCTCAGGGGACGCTGTGTAAGTGTGTCTCTTGAAAGTCTCGTCTCTTGGGTCTCTGCGCTGAGAGTAAATGTTTAGGTGTGCCGTTCTGTTCTGTTGTTCTTTTCCTAAGGCCTTTTTTTTTTCTTTGTACAAAGTACAATGGACAATAATGTAGTACAGTCATAATACGGTAGGAGGTCAAAGGTAACAATAAAAGTAAATTATTAATCCAGATGAGGGCATGAAAGTCAACCATTCATACAAGCTCACACTTGTGCAAATAACAAATTTTTATTTGTGTACATATTTATTTCTGCCTTTTTAAATGTTTTAATTAATCACTTCCTCAAAAACAATAAGATGATGTTTGATAGTCAGTTGTCATTTCTTGGGTTTGACTTATTTACGAAATTACACACTTCCAAGAAAATAGTATTTAGTTTTCAAACAATTATTTTATTTTATTTTTTTGTTTTGTTTTGTTGTTTTGTTTTTTACCCTTATTTACAAAAAAAAATACATGCTTCCAATAAAGTGATATTTGGTTATCAGTTTTTTTATTTATTTTATTTAATTTTGTTTTGTTTTTTTGCTTTGTTTTATTTTATTTTACACACTTCTAATAAAGTGGTATTTGGTTGTCAGTTGTCAAACATTTTAATTTAATATTTAATTTGATTTGAGTTGATTTGTTAACCCTTGTTTAAGAAATTGCACACCCCCAATAAAGTGACATTTGGTTGTCGGTTTATTTTATTTTATTATTATTTTTTTCTATCACTTTTTAAATTTTTTTTATATAAGCCAAATCTCTTCAGATGCTTGTTAAAAAAAGAAAGTATGAGTTAGTAATTGGTTTGTGGTACTGTGCAGTAAATTAGGCCATTGAGTGGGTCTCGTACTGAGATAGCTGTGTTTGAATGATTCAGCAGATGGCCGAGGAGACGCACATTTCACACGCTGCTGTAGGGGCTGCTGACGGCACTCCTGCGCAGATGTTGCGTCTCCATTTCCATCTCCTACTACATTTAAACATGTTAAAAGAAAATGAAATGGAGAGGATTTTTTGCTTTCTGGCTTTCTCCACATAAAATGCTGCGTCTGCACCCTGGTACAGATATTAATACCATGGTATTTTGATATACACCAAAGATCGAAACAACATCTTATAGCAATTAGGGTTGGGTACCGTTCACATTTTAACCGGTATGGTACCGGTATCGGTACCTGAATTTCGGTGCCGGTACCCAACGGTACCTTTTTTCGGTACTTTACTCTTGTAAAAATCTCGCGAAGTGACTCTCACAGCAGCTCTGGAGAATATGTTTTTGTGTTCATGCCGTCATATAGTGAAACGCAGAGACCGAAAATCACCGCGAGCGTCACGCTTGCTTCAGTGTTTGTATAGTAAACAAAACCGCGTTTCCACCATTCATACATACAGAGGCACGCGGAACATGCAGGATTCATATTTAAACCGTCTTTTTGCATTTCAATATTCACAGACGCTAGTTCATATCGCGATTCAAATTAAGTGGCAGTGGCTACTTTTGATTTATTCGTCCAAAATTTATGAATTCCGTGGGTTTTGAACAATAGGGCCCTACAAACCTTTTCTTTATTTTTTATTTTTCCCCCCAGAAATTCTTGTTTTAATTTTTCTGAAAATCAAATGAAGTCATTAAACATTTTTTTTAAATCAAATGAAAATCAAACCCTTTTATTTTTTGGCAAACAAACTGAGGTTTACTGTTGAAATTAATACATGGAAGAAAAATTGTGTGAATATTCCTTTAAAACATTTTTTAATAGGCTAATAATTGTATTATTTTTTTCTACAAGTGATTAATCGGTAGTACCGACGCAATTCGGTCGGTACCCTTAAAAGTACCGAGTTCGGTACCCAACCCTAGCAATCATGAGTAGGTAAATTTATTCTGCAGCTGGTGTTTTTTGAGATCTTGAATTATAACTAATGTGATCTGATAAAATGTTTCGTTCTCCTTTACACTTGGCTGAAAGCCTTTTGAAATAGTTATTTGTCTCCCCCGAGCGTAGCTCAGAATCTGTCCACTCACAGTAATTGAATAACCACTCCACATCTTCCACTCAGAGCTGGAGGTTTTTGTTCTCTCAGCACTTTCAGATGCAGAACCGCTCAGAGCTGTGCTTTTACGACATTGACAGACAGAGCTCATTACTTTATGCAGGAATAATCCGAACCGTTCTCAGACCTTTTCCGTATACATGGCTGAACTTGTCAGCGTCCTCTCAGAACATCAGGCTTCTGTGCAGTGGAAATAACAAGCGGAGAGCCGTGGCCGGGCTTCATCAACAAGAAGCTGAGTTTTGACAGCAGATGTTTTGGCACAGCTTCAGTGGGCGGTATTAGACTGAAGTCATCTTCAGGAGCGGACGAAGTGCAGAGTCTTTCAATATAAGCACACGTACAGCCTCCACACTTCAGATATGATATATCATGCACAGAGTACTTGAGATCGCACATCTGTATGAATGTTGATATGCACTGAAATTGGCGATACACTATAGGAGCTATTTTTATTTAATAGTTGTTTTTTTTACCATTTTTTAAATTTGATTTATTCTTTATATTTTTTAAGATAAACCCAGTATTTTGTTTTATTTGACTGCTTGCTCTGCATTTTTCATTGACACTGTTTTCTTCTCTCTTCAGGTGCAGGTGAATCAGGGAAGAGCACCATTGTGAAACAGATGAAGTAAGTAGAAACTTTTAAGAAAAGTTTCACAAAATTACATTTTTAGGACCCTGTAAAATAGTTTTATTTTTCCCAAATTCCGTTGAATTTTTTCTAGATTACATTTTAGTGAATTAATTAGATTTTACAAAATAAAAAAAGCATGTCCAATCAATTAAATTTATTAAACTTTTACAATTAAAAAAATCATTGCTATAATTGTATCATTTTTTTAGGGCCCTATGAAATCTTTTTTTTGTTTTAATGTTATAAGATTATTTTTTGGCACAAAAAAATGCTGTGCAAGTTTTATTTATTTATTTATGTATTTATACTTTGAGAAGTAATAATTATAATTCCTAAAGGTTTAATAAAAAATTAATTTTAGGGCCCTATGAAATTTATGAATACCCCCCCCCTCAAAAAAATTCCATTTTAAATTTTCTAGGTTCCATTTAAATGCTATAATTAGATTTTACAAAATAAAAACACGCCTAATCAGTTGAATTCATAGAACTTTTACAATTAAATGATTAATTTAATACAAATTTATTATCAAAAATATTGGTGATCAAACATTAAAAATTTAATTAAAAACTTTTTTTTTTAAATGTAATCAAATTAAATTTTAAAATGCCTTTTTTTGCCAAAATGCTGCACAAGTTTTATTATTATTATTATTATTATTACATTGAGAAGTACATTCTAATTTACAATAGTTATATATTTCTGTCACAAAGTCAAACCAAACTTCTATTTTGACAGTTGAAGACCGTTGAGTTTGTGTGTGTCAAATGAAATCATGATTCTCAGAGCAGCTCTGGAGATGAAGTTCAATGGAGATATGTTCCTGTCCTCATATAGTGAGATAAGAGACACTGAAAACATCACAAGCATTCACCACATAATTTTTAAGCATCGTTTTCAAGCTTCCTTTCAATTTTACATTCAAACAAGCCTGTGATTTCAGAAAGACACATTCAGGCTCTGTACTCATCCTCTGAAACTGCTGCTTTAACTCTGATAAATCACACACATTGACAGTAAATTAGCTCATTGCAGCTGCTGAGATACAAGTGCGCGCACACTATTTATATTCAGTGATAAATCCATGCTTCATCTGTCACTTATTTGCAGCCACAGCTCTTTGAACAAATGACATCATGTGTGAAACGGGAGTTAACAGAAAGCGGCACTAGCTGCTGTTATGAGTTTCATTTCCGTGATGGAGTCACATTTCCGCACGAGTGCACCTCCTTTCAGACCCTGTGATGCAGCGCTGCTTCGTTTACTTCAAATGCCCTCATGCTGTTCATGATTAATAGACACCATCCATCTCTTCGTGATACCAAAATGTTGCACTTCTCTCTTTGTGCAGCTCTGCTCTGCTCTCGCGTGTCTCAATGGTAACCCTCATTCTGCAAAACGTCTTGCAAGATTAAGCATGTGTGGATGCAGACTTCATAGCATGCTAAAGTATGCCAAATAGTGTATTTTCAATATATCAGAAGTAGGGATGCACTGATACTGGTATCGGTATCGGGCCCGATACTGAGCTCCTGTACTTGTACTCGTTAAAATGCCCCGATACCAAACGCCGATACCACACAGCATGTGATAATATTGAATACTATTTCCTGTTTACCTGTTTTTGAAATGGTTAACTTATAATAATAATAATAATAATAATAATAATAATAATAATAAATGGAGTTAAGGACGAAGTATATGTATGCAATGAATATAATGTTAAACATTCAGTATTAACGCCTGTATAGCCTGTATAGCCGAGCTGATAAAAGAAAGCACGTTGAGTGGATTGAGCGCGCGGCGGCGCAGATGCGCGAGCTTGTCGAGTGAATATACCTTTCTCACAGACATCA